AGTCTTTTTAAGTATAAAATATTTATATTTTTGAAAACTAAGTTTTGTATAATTATTTTAAAAAAAAGTATTTTAAAATAACTCTTTTTAAAGTATGAAAAATAAAATTTTTTAAGCTTTAACATTGCTTCCATGCATCATTTCTATCCTATAAGCTTAACAATTATTAAAAATAATGGTTTATAGTTGAAATATAATAATAATAATAATAATAATAATAATAATAATAATAATAATAATAATATAACAACAACAATATTTAAAATTATAATATTAATTAAGATTTAGGTGTGTGTAGTTTTAAATAAAGTAATGTGATTTTATCAAATAATAGTAATTATTATTTAATCCATTAAAAATATAAATATTATCTTTTATATTTTTTCTTGATTTGATATTATTGGATTTAATCTGGTCTGATCTGATCTGATTGGATCTGGTCTGATCTGATTGGATCTGATCTGATTGAATCTGATCTGATCTGATTGGATCTGATCTGATCTGATTGAGTCTGATATGATCTGATTGAAATTGATCTGATCTGATTAGGTCTGATATGATCTGATTAGGTCTGATCTGTTCTGATTTTAATAAGAATAAGTAATAAGTAGAAAAAATAAGTCCTACGGAACGGACCCTAAGTAAATAAATCTCAACTATAAAGTACTTCATAGATAATTAATGTTTAATAATACTAATTTTGGAAAATACATTATTCGAAAAGACTATTTTGAGATTACTTAAAGAAATTTATAATTTATAATTAGGTGACTAAAAGACTTATGACTATATTTTATAAGAGAATTATACGTGTCATGATTATGTATTTTATTTTTAGACAAATGGATAATACGTATACTACGAGATTGACTCAATGCATATCTTACCTAGAACTTTTGTTTATAGTAAGATGACTAATTATGATATGAAATAAAAGTATTTCCATACAATTTGACTATTTTTAAAATATTGAATATTTAAAATAAACAAATTAGAAAAAAGATTTAATAAGACTTTTATACTTTATCTTGGTAACTTTGTTTAGTATTTTAATCAAAATAATCTTATATTGTAACTTACGATTTACTCATTACATATTTATATTGTGTTACAATTCAAAATGTTTAAATTATTTATGCATAAAACTAAGAAATTTTGAATGAGAGAGGACTTACTTCCTACGTTTTCATTTACACAATCGTATATGAAAACTTCATAGGATAATATTTTATGAGATGGCATTGATTTATGCAAAGAAGATTATGACAAAGAATATCAAGGTGTGGAGGGGAGCGTGAAAAGATTTTTGAAAATGAAGAATTAGGATAATGAGAAAAGTAAGAAAATTTGTGCAGAAAATGCAAGGTGTAATAGCTAATAAGTTCGAGACTCAGTTACAGGTTATAACCACACCAAAGAAAATACAATTTCTAATTTGTAACTATTTATGTTTTGATAGAACATTTTATACCTTGACGAGAATAATATTCCGATAAAATCATTTGAGCACTAACATTTTAATGTTTTTTAAAACCAATGTGGGGGAGAAGAATAATTGATTCTCAATACTTTAAAATTAAAATTTTTAATTATAGAGATTTATGATCACTAATTTAAGATTTTGTTTTTTAATATTGCAGGAAAGAATAATATTTTTATAATCATTGCGCGGGG